CGGACCCGTGCCGGAGCCGCATGAGGTCCTCGCCGATGCGCGTTGGGACTAGCCCGAGCCTTGTGGCCGCGGCCTACCGTTGGTCGCGCCTGCTCCGCCCTAGCCGTACCTAAGCCGTAGCTGCTGACGCGGACCGCTCTCGGCAGACGCAAAAAGGGGCGTGAAAAAAAAAAAAAAAATTGCGAGTGTCGAAGAAGCTATGTGGGCTGCAAGCTTGATGTTTCAAAACAGTCGCGGAAGGCCATGTGTTGGTTTGGGAGGTCCGCAGACAACTGTTCGGTGTTTCCAAAAGCTTTCCTGCACTCCAGTCGTTGTGAAGCCCGATGTTCGTTCCGCCGTGATCCTGTTATCTTCGAGGCATGCGATGCTGGTGATTTGTCGGGATGCATGATGGATGTTGAAGCTGGAGCAGTGGAGTTTAGGTTTTTGAACGAAGGTTGGATTGTCGTTGCCTTGTATTTTGCCGAAAGCATGACAACCGTGTTTCTCCGCAGGGGGCACTTGGGGGAGGAATCATCCCGACCTGTGACATAGGAGTGGGACGCCACTCCGACGTACTTGCACAAATTTGCCATCCAAATGTTGTGGCAAAGGCCAGTCAAACCATTCCGGGCAGGTTCCCTTCAAATTGTGTCATCACACGTCATTCGAACCTCTTGATGCCAACCTGGGTCGATGTGTGGGTGAGGCCAGGACGTTTCAGCGGGAGGGTAGGTTGTGCTGGGGACGATTGAACGTTGTGAAGCGTCATTGCCGCCATGATTGGTTCAAGTTGCAGTCCACGTAGCGGTCGCTTGTATATAGATTCGGCGGCTGCGGAATGTGTTGGCCTAAGTTCAAGTTATCGGATAGCCATGACAAGTCGGTCAACGATGGCTTGTTTAGCCAGTTTTTGGACACTTTGGAAACTTGAACGGTTGTATGACTGGTTGATACTGTTGTATGCTGTGATGGGGTGTCGTCACGCCGCGCTTGTCACGGTGGCGTGTCTCTTTGTGCTTCGCTGTTGAGCTGCATTGGGTCCTTCTTGCAAGGGCAGGGGCGCCACTGCTGGTAGAAGTGTTGCGTGGCTTGCGATGCAGACTGATTGTGCGTGGCTTGGCATGAATGCATTTGTGCAGGATGGCCACCCCTGAAACGCAATGCGAATTGATCGTTTGAGGGCATGGCTTTGGCCGTAGCCTCAGCTCATGCTGTATAAGGAATGGCGGTCAGAAGCAACCTTGCACCTTAAGCCTCAGGTGCTGAAGGCTAGTGTTGCACCTTCGAGTCATGCTGGAGATGGACCGCGACCCAGGAGCTCTAGCCCCGGCGCTCTGGAAGATAATGCCATAGCGCGCAGTTTCTGCTGCGGGCCGTGGGTGTTTAGATCAAGTTTAAATTGAAACCAAATCTAGACACTTTCTGCTTCCGGGCTGGCACACCAAGGTCAGGGTCGGCCTGCCACCAGCCCGGCAGCCCCGGCAGCGGCGGTTTGTAGCCGCCGCCTCGGAAAAGTAGAAGGTCCTCCCGCAGCCACTTCCCAGTCCAGGCTCCTCGAAGACGGAGTTCACTTTGGTGAACACGCCGGGTCCCGGGTGCTGTTACGCCTTTGCCTGCTGCCCTGCACTGCACAAGACCCAGGCCACGTGAAGTTGTCATTCGCTCCAGATGCCTGCACGAGACTTAGGGTGCACGCCATGGTTGGACAAGTGGAAATTCCATTATTCCATTTGTGTGTGGTTCGGCTCGGTTCTATGCTTGTTTTGCAAGGATGCAACGTGGTTCTGCGGGCCCTCGTCGAGTGGTCCTCCCCCGTGAGCTGGTTCCTGCACGGGGCTAGGGCTGCATGTGCCGGTTTGGTGCATCCTGTTTGCCATGTGAGCCGTGAGGTCGGCAGCCGTGTGGAGCACGACAATAGTGGCCAGGTACTGAGGACCCAAGACAAGACCTGCTCAACATCGTTGGGCGGATTACATATTAATTCATATTAATCTACTCGCATTTCCTTGCTTCATGCTTGCTGCAAGGCGAAGCTTGCACAAGCAAGTCAAGGCCAGTGCTGCAAAATGCAGCGGCCAGGCTATTTCGCCTAGCCGCTCCGAGGTGTGTCAGAGCGACTCTTTTTGTGGGCGGTGGTTTGTGCAATCCTTGGCTCAGCCCATATCACAGAATTTTGCGCATTTTGTTATTGCACTTAGGCAGACGGTGCCCGTGGAGCTGGTGTCTGCCTTGGCTTACCGCAGGGTTGGATCGAGTTGGCCGTGGAGCAAAGGTCTCAGCCCAACGTGTCGCAAAGCGACAAGTTACCGGTCGAGCTGGCGCGGGCCTTTTCGAAACGTAGTTGGATATCTCCTTTGGCGAGCTCAGCTGACTGGGAAGCGGACCCATCGCTGATGCTTACGGTTTAGGTGCTGGCCCCCCTATCGCTGACAAGGATAGCCTGCCAGAGCGCTTTGCTTCCATGTTCCGCGGTCGCATGAAGGACGCTCTACGTCACGATGTGCCTCCTCTGACACCTGAACTCCGTGGAGCATTGGGCTCATAAGGGCTTGGCGGACGTTCAGCTCCTGGCTTATCTAGCCACTAGTGTCCAAGGATCTCAAGCAGAAGTTGGACAGCTTGGTTTCAGTCTGCCGGACCGACTTCAAGGCATGGAACAGAAGCACACACAGAGCACAGCTTTGTCATTTTGCGTGGGTGCGAAAGGCACATCCGCGCAGTGTGCGCTTCTTTCTTAGGGAGCTCTGGGAGGTGTGCCAGCTGCGCGGTTCTCGGAGTTCTCGGAAGTCCCGCGAACGTGAGCAGCTTCATTCTTCAGGCTGAAAGTTCCTTGTCTTCCTCGGCCTTACAGGTGGGCGTGGCTGAAGTCGGCTGGCACGATCCGACTTCCTGTGTGAGTGGCGTCATCTCGTCGTGATGTTCGCAGGAAAAGCCTTGCCGGCCCGCTACAACAATTTGTGGAGTGCCAAGAACTCCAGAACATGGGTCCTTAAGGCATATAGGTTCAACATCTTTTCGTGCGTCTGTGGGTGGGGGGCAGCGGAAGAAGTGAGTCGTGACAGTTTCGATGATGCACGGGACACGTGTCCAGCACAGACATCTGATGGATTGGTGTGGACTTCCGCAGGCATTTGGTGTTGGTCTGCTGTCGGCAGTGTGCTGAGATGACGTAGACAAGAGCCATGGCTCACAGCATTGGCCACATCCTCGCCGATTTTCAGGGCTTCGAATACGGAACAGATTATTTGACGCTGTCAAAAGGCGAGCTTGTCAGCCTGTGCCCCTCTCCCAGCGCTGAAGGTTGGAGCTTCGGAATTCAGGTGAAAGACGGACGCAGCGGATGGTTCCCATCTCAGTTCTGGGCACCCGGGCCATGTGGCACTTCCGATCTCAGCGGGGCTTCTTCAGAAAACATCTATGACAAGGCCTTCCTGGTGTCAGTGCGACATTTAGTTGGCAGTGGTCTACAGGATGATGTCCCATCCACCATGAGCGAAGCCAAGATCAAAACCCTGGTCTCGCGACAGCAGAAGAAGCAGCAACCGGATTGTCTCAAATCCATGGTCTTGCTGGTTGAGGCAGCAGGTGGAAGTGTGCGGCTCGGAAACTTGGCGGCGGCCTGCATTGCTCTTTCAATCATGACAGGCACGCATAAACAGGTGTACCAGGATGTGCTGAACCTGGTTCAACGATCCCCTGAGTTTTTCGAGCCAGTGGAAACGGCTTCGCAGAAAAGCTTGCGTCAAGTCCTAATCTGCTTGGCTGGTTCGGCGATTGTGTCGGCTCCTGATTGTGTTCCGGAACTTATGGAGTTTGATGTTGGGGGCAGCCAATCAGATGCAGCTCCTGCGATAGCAGACATGCAGATGCCAAGCTTTTCTCTGCGTGCGCGAGGGCCAAGCTAGCCGTGCCCAGAGGAAGAATTTTCTCAGACTCATCGAATCAATGTTTCCTGTTTCACCCTGCGAATATTCGCAGCACCGAAAGTCAAGGAAGGTGCTCGCGCAGTTCCAGCACAACGATGTCATGAGTTTGCGTTAAGAAGGTGACAGTTGCCTCCATTTTGATATTTGTATGCCGCGGCCTGCTCTGAAGGTCATGAACATTCCTAACTGGCTTCCGGCCGATTTAGCTCCTTCCAGCGCCGAGCTGCTGATGGCTCAGGTGCTGTTGAACAGAAGAATGTGCATTGCCTGGTTCCCAAGGTCGGAGGATTCTTTTATCACGCTGACAGCGAGATGCTCAAGCTTCTAGGGAAAGAGGGAAGAGGCTGTTAAAGACAGTAATGCCTGACTAGGAAAAGCTGCATTAAGAGGTCATGCTAGCGCTGGACTCCATCCCCTGGGAGTTCAAGTTCAACCAGAGACGTGATGGCAATCCATGTGAGTTTTACGTGATGCCGCAGTTTCTGTGGTCTTCTGTCGCTTGCCGTCAGTTTCTCTTTCGTTTGCCACCCCCTCGAGCAGTGCCAAAGCGTGAAATGTAGTCTTGCTTCGCGATGCTCTGGAAGTGTCTGCTAGGGTCCACCGCGAATACGTGCTTTGTTGGGCTACAGTACAGGCAGGTTGTGTGGCACTTCGTCATCCTTGCTAGCCTCACGCTGTCCAGCAGGATGAATGAACGGATGCAGGATGAATGTATGGATTGCTTGGGATGATGACCTCGCAGCTCTAAAAGATTTCGGGATGCTCGCTCTGTCGGTTTTATGCCAGAGCTAGGTGGGGCAGAGTGCACCGGGCGGGCTTTGGAAATGCACACGGCTTCAAGTTTTAAACGGCTTGTGACTTATAACTTATACTACCCTGTATAAAAGTGCGGTAGAGTGTGACCTCTGAACCAAAAATGCATACCTACTTTCCGACTCGCGTACTGCCGTACTGAAGCTTGCTTGGCGGGCTGGGTTTTTGTGCGGTCGGTTTAAAATTGAAGAAGCAACCACCAACTCAAGAAATCCTAGCCAACTCATGGACCCAGTGGCTGACGAAGCGCGCAAGGAAAAATTTTGGGATGGGCTCTAAACGGTACATGATAACTTACCGCGACCATCCGTCATACTGTACATGGGCGGCCCGGCGGCCTTAACGCCAGGATCCACCCGGAAGATTTAGACGAATTTTCCACGCACATTGGTAAAGCAGTCTTTCTTAGCGATACTCCCACCGAAGGCAAACTCACCACGAACTATTTCAAGCTTTTGGACTTTATGGTACAAGCGACCCCTTTCCAAGATCGTTTCATATAGGGAGATCTCCTCCTCACCGGAGGCCACTCCTACCCAGCCTAGTAATTCTGACTTTGCCTGCCTTGACCATGTCATTGCTCCGCTCACTGCACTATCGATTTATGTCACTTTGACCGCTTCTTAAAGCCGGCCAAGAAGCCCCCTCCCAGAATCACTCCGCCCCGTACCAAGGATGATCAGCTGGCATTCCAGCAAGCTTTTGCACAGACTTTTTCCAACCTTACAGGGCAGCCACAAATACACTGGGCATAGAACCTCTACCAGAAGCCATCAACGCGTTCACTGACGGCGCGTGTCCAAATCGATTCCAGGTTAAAGTTGGAAACCCAGCCGGCTGGGGGTTCACTATTCAGCACCATTATTCCTGGACAGACGCATGGAGCCCAGTGGGCCAAAATCTCTCTGTTCCTATTCCCGGATCCAATAGCGCGGCGGAGCTCCAGGCACTCCTGGAGGTACCAGGCTACCTGGCCAGACACAAACGCCACCACAGCATCACCCGGATTAATGTATATACTGACTCCCAGTTGGCCTATGATTTTTTACATGGGCTCTCCCTCCCTAAGAATCATCTGCACATACTTACTCAGATTCGCACCTTGATTGATCACTTACTCCCTCAGATTCGGATAGCACTCCTCAAAATAAAGTGCCATTCTGGCCAAGAAGGAAACGAACGCGTCGACAATTTAGCCAAAAGAGCGGTACACAACGCTACCAACATAGGACGACACGCCTACCCGCCCCGTTTCCCTTTGAGCGATACCATCACCATAAGTGCTCCCTCCAACTTCGAGTCCCTAACCCTGGAAGAACAGGCCACTCTACTCCATACTGCTGCCAGGGGGTTGCCCGAGCCACTGCACCGCGCAGCTCCGCAACAGGAAGATCCTGACACTACACCGCGATCGAGAAAAGGGGTGTCAGTCGACTTCGTTGGGTCAGGCCTACTACTTGTACAAGCTCTCGATGTTGGGCGGAGGACAAGTTCACCTACAAGACTGAGCTTGGCCGACCGTGACAACATTGCTAACTTCCTTGGATCTGGGCACCCACCGGGGGGTGTGAACACATGGTTGTTTCTGACATCGGTAGCGACCGAAAGGAAATGGCCTTTGAAGGCCTGGTAGAATGGACCTGGCGCGCGGCTACAGGGAGCTGTCGGTAAAAGTCGCCGAAGCGCAGCCGAGAGGGGAGCCTTACCGCAGCTTAGCCTTTCTAAGTTGAAAGGCAGACCAGTCCCGTTTACGGCCCGACTCGGTCGCAAATCTTGGCTTTCGTTCAATCCGTGACACACACATCCGCGACATTTTTGTGGCCAGAAGCGGACCCAACTAGCTGTTACTAGCAATGAGCTACAGCCAGGATCCGCTTTGACGTGTGCCGCGTCCGCTCAAAAGCAGCGGCTGGCTCCCGTTTATTTTGCCACATACTGTACTAGTTCCGTGCACACATTGCATCCGGAGTTGCCTTGTTAATAGCCCTGCAACAGAAGGACATCAAAATAGGGGGACTTCCCTAAAAACTGGGAAAGAAAGAGACAAACAATGAAAATGTCCCTGCTCCTTACAGGCTTCCGGAAAGGACACCATGAAAGAGAGAGAACGCGCAAGATAGAATGCTTTCGACACCCGACTGGGGAAAGACGTGCAATGTCTTTCTGAGAAGCATCGCTCCCTTGGAACATGTCGGGTGCCCGAGAGGGTCAGGACCCCCGCAGGGTCCCCCCGCCTTACACCGATTGGGACAAATTGCCTTGTACGTCTACTGACTGGTGTCGCTTCTGCTGACTTTGAGTTCATCGCCCCAGCCAGCTTGTTCACGTCTCCTCTCGCGTCGGTCTTCACGGCATGCTTCTTGGCGATCGATCCTCGCTCCAGCTGGAGGAATTGCGCCCCACGTGCGCTGCTCGGCGCCTCTGCGCCTTTGTTGGCGAGCGGGCTTCTTCCCCTTTCCAACCCGCAGCTTCTCTCTAGGTCACCTGGGCGGTGTGGTTTTTTGGTGGGCTTGGTTTCTCCGCGTGCGGTGGCCCGTTGCGTCACAATGCGGCTGTCCTGGTCCCAGTAGGTTTCTTCGATCGCCGACCTCTTTTGCCAGTCATCGATTCGAACCTCCCCCCACTCTGTTTTTTGCACGCGCCAGGAGGTTGTAGATTCTGGCAGGGTCCCTTTCGACATGGTTGAGCTTCTCGATCATTTTGGAGCGGTGGTGTTGTAGGATTAGGAGGGTGAGCAGTTCGTAGCAGTTTCTGCTCTGGTCTCTGTGACACCTTTCTTTCGGAAACTCTTCGCACTCCAGAGACTATCGTCCGGTGATGCTGTCGAAGCTCGAAGCTCATCCTTCAGTTTTACCATAGATCTACAGAGCTGCGAGGGTATGTGCAAGGCAAGGACTCCTTGAGCGGTGGTCTGCAAGTCTCAGGCTTGTTTGGGGGTGTCTCCCCTCTGGTTGTTCTGGGCTGGGTGCCGGTTTGCTCTTCTTGCTTCGTCTTCTTATTCAGGCTCTGCTGCTTCTTGTTGCGTTCATGTGGTGCATATGGTGGGTCCTTGCGCACATGCCCGTCGTGGGTCCTTGCTCGCTTGTTCTCTGCGCGTTGGGAAGTGGGCGGCTTGTGGAGCTTTGCGGGGCGTGTTGGGGCATCAGGTGAGCGAAGTACATTGCGCAGTCACGTAGTATGACCGTCGCCTACTGGCTTACTGGCGGGAAACCGATGTGCCGCGATCCGGGAGATGTGGCTGGAACGGGGCCACACAGCCAAACAGCTTGATCCAAAATGGCTTGAGTCAGGGTGCCCTATTCAGAGAGCAGCTTGTCAACTCCTGGAGTTGAACAAAGCCGACCCAGAAAGACGCGTTCATGTGTGGGGTGGAGCTTCTGGGTAGATGTATCATCAACACGAATGGCAACATGCACCCTTTGAAAGGCAGTGGTTGTCACGGGACTTGTGCATAAGACCGTGGTGATCCTAAGGGTCAACATGGAGCTTTGGGACGGAGTGAGTGCACAGGTGAGGACCAGCCTTAGCTGCATGTGTTGGCCATCCGAGGACGACATATCGCCTCTGCAACTGTCGGACGACTTTCGGATCACATCGTGATGGCCTGAGACATTCGCAGTCATAAGATACTGCATAACTAAGGGGTAGGCCACCGATGGCGCGGTTAGCTTTCAGGACGTCCTCGTCCGTTGCTTTCTGATGCTGCGACTTTTCGTACTTTGCTTAGCAAGAACCTTGCACAGAAGGCCTTGCATGTTCAGGTTGCTTGCTGCCCACTGGCAGGCTGAGGCTCCAGTTCCGCACAGTTCCACTGCAATGTGCTGCTCTCGAGTTTAGCTGATGTGTCAGGCCGTCTGAGTTCGCCATGCCTTCGGGCCGCTCTCTGTGCGGATGCTGAGTATGCGACTACATGTTTAACTGCATCCCTTCACCTGCACATGAGGTCGCGGTCTGGTGCCAGACAAAGACGCGTCTCTCACTCCACCCCCAATGACCAGTTTCAAGGCACAGCACAGCTTACATTTTCGCAAGAAGGGAAAAGCACTGTAGGCGATGTTTCGTCTGCTGAGCAGCCCTCAGTTTGGCCATGAGACGTCATGGATGTGTGTCTCGGGTACAAACTGTTTTTATGCGTCTTGCCGAGGCGGGATACTCGCGCATGGACCTTCTGCAGAAGCAGGACCATTCGCGGTTTGTCACACAGGGGCAAAGTACATAGTCTGCCCGGCACAGTCAATCAGCCTTTTCTTGTGCCGTTGCACGTGCCTGATTGGCCCAGCTTGCAGACAGTCCTCCGACAGCTGAAGCCAGCAGACCCCACAAAAGCAAAAAGGGATATCACGTTCAAAACAGACTCCAAAGAGCTATCGACGTGTCAGCACTATTCCAGCACTCTTGCTGTAGCTCTGTGCTGTTGCCACGTATGGGCCTGAGTGGTTTTGCCTCTGCAGCTCAGTTGCCTGAAGCCACAGCTCGCCTACGAGGTTTTTCAGTCCAAGTCGCATGGCGGAGGCCTTACGCCTCTCCGAAGCTGCTGCTATTGCGATTGGATGCAGCGGTTCGCAGAAGACTCCATCTGTCACCAAGGGGGCCGACACTGTTATCCTCAACTCCCCGGGTTTGGTGGAGACATTGAACTGGCACGTGTCGACGGTGCGCCTCGTTCTTTGCTGCCGGTGCGGCTCACCAATACAATCACTTGCGCTTAGGTCTACGATGAGCGCGTGGGAACAGCTTTCAACTTCATATACGATGCGACGGCCTTAATGATATTCGGGATTTCCGACATGACCTGTGGAGCCCAGGTGTTGCAGTTCTCGTCGGGGCGAGACAAGTTCTGTGCCCTGATGCAGGGCTACTGCAAATTCGCCAGCGAGGTGACTCTGTCCCTGAGCGTGTGAGTGGGTAGTGCATCCGAGACAAGCCAATGGAAGCCGTTGCAGGTGTTTTCCGAGCCCGACAGCGAGCGGCATTGGATGTACAGGGGCATGGAGGACAAGATCTAGAGAATCTTGAGATATGGATAGATTCCCCTTGTTTTGCCTGTGTCGGAGGACAGTCTCAGTGATGGACGCAAAATTTTCAGATTGTTCAAAGAGTTCAGAGAAGTCTACAAGGCGTGCCAGAGACTGACCCACAAGCCACAAGCCAGCTCTTGGCTGTTGTGCTTGTGCAAGGTTCGTCGCGGGTGGAGTCGATTCTCCCAGGGTGCTCAGGAACATGGAACTTTGTCCGTTCCTGCAGCGTGTGGAGTCCTTGATATGCCGTTGCCCGAGGTTGCTGTAGGGATGTGTACGTGGAAGTTCCAGACAGGAAGGTCGATGGAGACAGCTGGCCGAGTCGTTGTGATTGAGCTACTGTCCTACCAGCAACTACTTTGCGCTGGCCCTGCCCTCTCGACTCCACCCAGGCTTGGCCACACCTGCTCATTCTTCTACTACCTAGGCGCAGTGTACACAGAACCGCTGCCAGTCACAAAGTCTTCAGCAACAGGTGACAACCTTCTCTGGGCTGCCTCGGTTGGTCTCGTGCGCTCGAAAGAAGTTCCACAGATGCAGCGGAGGCTCGCGGGAGTCAGCAATTCCTGGCAAGACTTGAGAGCTGCTTGCTGGTCTCAGGATGTGGAAGGGCTTTCGTGCCTGTGGCTGATTTAGCCTGGAAGTGATCTCTTGTTTCTTTGCTTCTGCCAAATGTATACTTTGTGCTGTCGCCAACTTAGGCAAGAACGGTGCCGTGTTGAGAGCTCTGGGAGGTGTCGCAAGCTTGAAGCCCAGTTCAGGGTAGTGCGGGTAGTGCACTTTCATCGAGTTCTGCTCTCCATGTGCTTGGTTAGAAGTTCTCTTGCGTGATGCTTGAAGTTGGCTTCTTTGCCAGAGCTGAAGCTGCAGATTGATGACCTCTATGGTTCTGAACGCATGTCGAGTCTTGGCACACTTGGGTGCGATGGTGACAAAATTGAGAGATAGATTGCATGCGGCGGGCAAGTTTTCCCCGAATCCTCAGTGAGTTGTTTGATCACACGAAACCCCTGCGGCTGTGGGCGGTGTTGGCCCTATCCAGGGGGGGATCGCTGGAGGTTCAAGAGGAGGGGGGAAAGAGGAAACCTGCGGCCCGGCCCGTACTGTAACGGGCATCGCTTGTGCCCGGCGGCCTGCCAGCTTGCGAAGCTCCACTCTGAAGTTTACGTTGTGTCCGTTCACTGCCCGCACCTCGATCGAGTTGATTTTAGTGCAAACGTACGGAAGCGACTCCGCAAACAGTCGAGGAGCCTTCGCAGCCAACAGACAGCTGTGTTGCATCAAGCTGGCATGCAGTGACACTTGAGAAGAGAATCATAGCACGAAGCTTTGACATTGCAAGAACTTGTAAATTAGCGTCACCGGCTCGCAGCAGGCGCTGCTTGCGTGTGGTGTGCACTGTATGGGCATGGCATGACATAGAGGCGCGCTTCGCAAGGCGCCAGTCGTTGTCGGATGCAGAATGACTAGGGTGATGATAGCGATGCTGAACGTGACTATGAAGATGAGAACTATGACAAGAAGACTTACTGATAGACTATCATGATGATGGTGAAGCTGTTCACGATGATGATAACAATAAACGTGATTATGATGGTGATGATGATGATGGCGATGGTGATTGTTGTGGTAATGATGAGGATGAGTCTGATGCTGGTCGCGATGCGGTGGACACTCTTGGAGTGGTTTGCGATGTTTGGAATGCTCTGTGACATCCACCGTCTAATTCTACTGTACTGGGAGAAAAATAGTAGACACAAGATGAAGGTTTATGAAGGATTAATGGGGCATCGCCTGGCCTGGACAAAACATTTCCTGAAGCTGAGATGGGCTCGCTCTCCGAATCAGTTCTGAGAGATGTTCTCAAAAGTGTGTCGCGGAGCTTGACGGCACGCTTGACAAGTTCAGAGCTGATTTGTGGTGCGCCGTGCTTATGATAAGTGATTTCGTTCTGGTGAGCTACTCTGAGATGTCAAGCGCAAGCGCAACTGGGCGTCCATATGGAGACTGAATTTTGCGATCTGCGAAAGCCTCGGCGAGTGTGCAGATGCGGATGTTAAATGACGGGCTCAAACACGCCCATACCTCAGGTGCCAATTTGCTCCTGCTGCAGAAGGCCTTTCTTAGGCTCGGCCTTCGTCGCCTCTCTACAGCACCCAGTGACAGTTCTCGGTTGTCGATGTGGGTAGTTGCTAGCGTGTTGTTGATTCAGGTGTGGAAGATCCAGATGACCGGGTCTCAGAAGTGACGTGCAGAACCAGAGTACCAGGCATTCCAAAGAGTCGAGTAGAGGGGGACCTGCGGATGCGAGGACGCTCGTCTTTTTCACATGCTGGAGATCCTTGGCATGCTTGCCAGCTACAGAGTCCTCCTCTCGAAATTAAAGATCGCGAAAGCATCCCATGCGAGGCCAGGGCCTGTGCTTGACTGTGTGTGTGTGTGTACACGGACCCGAGGGCTTGAATTTTCTTGTTCTGTCGCCTCTGTCTTGGTTGCTTGTTTTGCATCCCTCTGCCAACCTGCCTAATTAGCTGGTTTCCAGCTGACCTTCGGCTGAGTCCGCCGGGCTTCCAACCGTTCTCTCAAACTGCGCAAGCGGCACCTACCGCCGGTTTGGGCGAGCCATTCTTGACAGCAAACTCTGCAGCCTTGCCGGCCTTGTGCGAGTGTGACAGCCGAAACTCCTCAACTGACTGCTGGACCGATGCAAGCGCGTCGCTTTGTGCTTTTCGGGGCATTGGTGACTTTGTACAATGTCACGAACAGCTTGGACAACAGCAGCGCAAATGTATTCTCAGCTGCAGTACAAAGCACAGCACTTGGTGTGTTGGCTGGACCTCTGCAAACAAACGCACCAGCCATTGTCTAGCAACCGGGACCGGGACCTGTACGAACTAGCTGGGTAATGTCGGCCTAACCTCGATCCGTGGCATGCGGTCACGAAGCAGGCTTTCCTTTGCGCAAGAGTGGTAGAGCCTCGCAAGGCTGGGCCTGCTGTCGATGCTGGCAGCGGCCTGTGGCATCTGGAGCAATTGGCGCAAGGAGAGCGGGAGCGGTTTAAGGGAGAGGCGGAAAACGAGCAGCCGCTGGCAGGTGCGGCGGAAGAACTGCGGCACCAAAACTTGGATGGTGACAAACCTCAAGTCTGAGGCATTGATGGCATGACGTAAGATCTCGGTCACTTGGATGATCTTGGATGCAATCAACTTACCGGTGTGGAAGGTCTGGGACACTGGGTATGTATGCCCTTCTTGACAGGCCTCCTAGCATCTCCATCTTGTGCTTAGGTCTACGGTGTTTATTCTGTACATAGACGGCGGAGTAATGAGTCGCAGCAGTCAGGAGCAGCTGCATCCTGCATCTTCGTAAAATTCGATTTGTCCACCGATAGGCATCCTGCAGGTGACATGCTGAGGGTCAACTAGTCCAAGATCGAATTGTGCAGAGGTGTTGCACGGTCCTTGCATGTCGCGCAAGAGGGCACCAGTGTAAGACTCCGGAGCCAGGGCCCAGAGCGAGTTTTAGAATCACGTGCTTCTGAGAAGCCACGATCCAAAATCAATCGAGTGCTTGGAACGCGGAAAATCTGCGGAGAGCAGAGCGCAACGAAGCACAAGCATTTGCAGGCAGCTTTGCGCTTTGCACAGAAGATCCAGCCAGGAAAGGCATCTGTCCACACGATTGCTGGATGTCTCGGCAGATCCCGACTCAGACCGTGACTCGTTAAACTGCAGCAATGAAGCTTTGGGAATACATCTTTGCTTGCAAAGGCGCTGCGTGTGAGATTCCTGGAGTTTGTGCAGCAGGTCCAACTTTCGCCTCATGCTCCACATGTTTTCAGATGCTGGTAATACATGATTGAGACCGGACTTGGTGTCTTGCAATGCATTTTCTCTGCTTGGAAAAGTTGCAAGTGTACGAGCCATCCGACGCGGGATTCAGATCGGCTGCGCAATGGCAGCGGCACCCGACGTGGGCGAGACCAAGAAGGCGCCTCTCCTCAGTGAGGGGACCGAGTGGGACCCAGAGTTGACGCGGTCTCCTTTCACTGGTGATGGTCGACCGTCAGAACCCGAGAGAATACATATTACCATACATGCCCCAAGCACGAGTGCTGCCAATTTGGCACCCAGCAGCCAGTCGCTGGTAGGGTCGGGTGCCGATGCACCGCCTGGGTCGGATGAGGGACCGCTGACAGGTTTAACGTCTGACGAGGCTGCAGCAAGGCTTAGCCAATTCGGGCGGAACGAGATACCCGAGCATGTTGAGCCTTGGTATGTTATGCTTGGAAAGCAGTTTGTTGGCATGATGCCTTTCATGCTCATCGTTGCTGCAGCGCTTTCTGCCATCACAGAAGACTGGGCCGACTTCGCCGTTATTACGCTCATGTTGGTTGTGAATGCCTTTATTGGTTTCCACGAAGAGTTCAAGGCACGCCAGTCCTTGGACGCACTCAAGGCTCAAATGACGGCTACGGTTCCTGTGAAGCGCGATGGGAACATGATCATCGTTCCTGTTGCGGACCTCGTGCCAGGTGATGTGAATCTTTGCTGTGTTTGGAGGATGTACGGTGTCTGGTGATTGGCATTTCGAAGGGTCGAAGCGCTCACAGCCGTGACTTTTCAGGCCGTAGAGTAGAAACGGTTCCGCAGTTCAAAAAAGTAACACAACCCAGTGAGAAGCCGCAGAGCTTTTCTGATAGCAATACAAGCATCCAAAAGTCGAAAAGATGAGTGCTTTACAATTCCCACTTCACTCGTTTTTGGGCCAGCCACATGCCGCAAAGAGCTCCCAAGAGGTGGGGATACAGAATCTCTTGTCTGTCCGAGGATTTTCCTGCGTGGTGGGAACATCGTCCCTGCCGACTGCGAGTTCTTGGAAGGCGACGAAATGTTGGTGGACACAGCTGCTTTGACCGGTGAGCCCATTCCACGCAAGATTCCTCGTCCGGATCGCGAAGGCGAGCCGACAGGATCAGGTAAGTTGTTGCTGTCAGGCTGCATTGTGAAGCAGGGTGAGGCCCACTGCGAAGTCAGGGAGACAGGGCTGAACACAGAGATAGGGCAAGCTGCCGGCCTTGTGGCAGAAGCCTCTGGTCATCAGCCGGGCATCTTTGAGACCAAGATCATGCAAGTGGTGCATGCTGTTATATTGCTGGCGCTCGTGGATGCCGGTGTGGTGCTTTATGTTGATGTCGCCCACCGGGGAACTCGGTTCTCCAAGGCGCTCCTCAATGTCCTGGCGTTGGTGATCGGTGCTGTGCCCATCGCGCTTCCGCTGGTAATGCAGGTGACAATGGCGATCGGAGCGGCAAGCATGGCTAGCAAGAAAGCAATCGTGACACATCTAACTGCCCTGCAAGAAATCGCATCCATGACGGTTTTGTGCTCCGACAAGACCGGCACCTTGACAACAGCTGATATGAGGGTCCTGCCCCACAGAACATGGACTCGCAATAAGCTGCCAAAAGATGATGCACTGCTCTATGCATGCTTGGCATCCAACCCAGCAAACAAGGAAGATCCGATAGACAAGGCCGTCCTGGGTTCAGGGAGTGAACACTTTGGAGTCGATGAGTCCGAGCGGCTTATGGCGAGGTACAAGAAGACGAAGTTTGTGGGCTTCAACCCCACCGTCAAGCGGACCGTTGTTTATTGCGAGCACGAAGAGAAGGGCAAGCTAAAGATCTCGAAGGGGCTTGTGGACAAAGTTCTGATCACCGGAGAAGATGGAGGAGACTGCTGGGAGTGCGAGGATGCCATGGTTCTTAAGGATGAGTTAAAGGAGGTGGATCTTCGCTTGTCATCTCAAGGGTACAAGACGGTGGGCCTGGCGGTCTCCGAAGGCGAAGGCCCCATGCAATTTGTCGCCATCATCCCTATGCTGGATCCCCCACGGCAAGACACACAAGTTACCATTTTCCGGATCCGATCGGCTGGGATCAATGTCAAGATGATAACCGGCGACCACTTGAACATAGCAGTGGAAACAAGTCGCCTAATCGGTCTAGGGACAGGCATCCTCCCTGCTTCTGACTTGTGGCCGGCATCAGCGACTCGAGATGAGACTATTATGACAGCGGATGGATTTGCACAGGTTCTCCCCAAGGACAAGCGGGAGGTCATATTGGTGCTGCAGAATCGGGGACTCGTTGTCGGCATGACTGGTGACGGAGTTAATGATGCCCCGGCATTAGCTCAAGCTCAGATCGGCATTGCGGTAGATGGTGCGACCGAAGCAGCACGGTCAGCGGCGGACATCATACTTACATCCCCAGGACTTTCCGCCATTTTCGATGCCATCGTCGAGTCGAGGAAGATTTTCGCTCGGTTGAGGTCGTATGTGTTGTACCGCATCGCAGCCACCATCCAAATCGTATTGGTGTTATCGGTACTCATTTATGCATACAATGACACCATGCCTGCGATCTATGTGATTTTGCTTGCCCTGGTGAACGATGTTACCATGCTGCCGGTTGCCAGTGACAATGCCTCCCCGTCGGCACTGCCTGAAATTCCTTCGATGCCATCGATTCTCTTGGCTTCTTTTCTTTATGGTATTCTGGGCACGGCTCAGACGATGGCATTGTATATGTCGGACCTTCTAGAGGGAGATGGCTCTGATGAGTATCGCATGGCAGTGACATACCTTCAGATGTCCATTGCAGTCGAGCTGTTTATCTTCTCGTGCCGGACCCCTGTGTACGTCTTCAACCTCTTTCGGTCGGATGCTTTGCCGTCCATGCTCCTGCTGGTGTGCGTCATGGGTGGCAACATTCTGGTCTCGCTGCTCGCTGGCTTCGGGGACACGTTTAAGATCGTGCACAAAGTAGCCTCTGGGACTACACAAGCCACGCATTGGTATTGCCAGTGCAGGTGTCGTACACCATGTTTTCCGTAGATTCACTCGAATTTGAATTCAGGCTTGGGTCGACATTGGCTGGTTGCCGTCTCAGTCACCACCCTCAATCATGTGAGCTTGTCCATCCGGCTGACTCGTGACACTGCGGCTGCCCTGCCGCGACCCAGGATTTGGTTATACGACTTGCTCGGGTTGTTGGTGATTGACTTCTTGAAGCGCTTCTTCAACATCGTTGGTCTTGAAGCTTGCATGTGCTTGTTCTTAAACCCCAGAACCGCGGATCGTGACCCTTTTCAGATGGAACACGCAGTTATCACTAACCACAGAATTTGCTGCGTGTGATCCCTTTGTCCAAGGACTGGATGTCGGCTGGAGCTGGTGGCGATGTGCTTGGGTATCCGAGCTTGCCCGACGAGTTCCATCACGCGAGCCATCGATCCACTGTGCTGCACCACAGATCTAGCGTCAGGAGCGTTGGGTTGCTTGGTCCATTGGCCGTCATCTTGCAAGGGAGAGCCTGTCCAGGAGCGTCCTGTACCACAGTCGACTCTCCACGATCTCGCAGGCACGGAAGAGAGCCTATCTAGCCGAAGGTGCCGTATGCAGTCCTGTGCCAGGGTGGTGGGCTGGCAGCCGGTACTATGCACGCGAAGCCATCCGGTTCAACTCTGCCTTTCCCGCACAATCTGCGGGCGCAGGCACTTCGGCACCTTCACTCGTTCTAGCCGCGACACTTGGCTCATTTTGGCTGCTGGCCAATGCTTGTGTGTCTCTTGATCCTAAACCCTCACGTGCCAAGGACCTTCACGATGAAACCGAGCTTGAGCAAGTTGTGCTGGTGCTTAGCTGCCTTGGAGTCGATCTAATGTTTAGCAAGGACAGGGGGGCAAACGCCGTGGCAAACAGATGTTCTCCGACCATGTATACCTGTTCATTGAAAGTATCACTTGACAAATCTTCCGTGCACCTTCGCCACGAGCATGTTCCAAGTAGGGGTTGCGATTGGAGATGTCGTGATTGCCAATTGGGCCGCGGCTTCTCTTGGTCGCTCCGCATGGTTAGGAGACGTTCCAACTGTGCCAACAAGAGCACATAATCCAAAACGAGCCAAGCTTGCTGCATGAGAGGTGTGTTTACAGGACTGGGGACATCAAAGTCCTACATGACTGGACAGCCCGATGCAGAGGACCAGGCAGAAAAAGAGCCGATGCAAGTGTGCAAGGAGGCCTTCAAGATCCTTCAGGGAGCCAGCACCTGTGATGGAACAGAACAACGGTCCCTGTCGGGTCTATGCCTTCTCAAGCGCACCGAATTCAGAGCAGGCGTGCTTGGCCAGGTCCCTGTCTTCCTGGAAGACCTCTTGCGCGCGGCTTTGGCTTTGTATGTTCCAAGTGACAGCCAAGCGCAGCAACGCCGTTCGGACACTTCGAATGAGCGTGAGGAAATGCACAGTTGAGAAGCCGGTGGCCGAGCAAATCGCTCACCAACGGTCGGGTCCTGTGCTTGACGCTGGCCATCGTGCTATGGAACCGGCTGCGAGCTGTGTGGAATCAAGCTTAGACTGACTTGCATGATTTGGCCCGGTCTCTCCCGCGTCTCCCCGCGCAATCTTGCCAGTTTCCTGTCGCAGTGGTTCTGCCGAACCCTCTGGCAGAAACACCAAAGTAACTCAAAGTGCCAGAAGTGCTAGAGCTGCTAGATTCTAGATTGGGTTGTCTGCGCCCTCGCCGAACCTCGCCGACATGGCCGACGTCTCCCGTGCAAGCAACCAGGCTCGGAACTCGGAAGCCCAGATCGGCTTCGACAGACGAGACCTGTGAGACCTCAGGATGCTCACGAGCCGAACGGCGTGTCCAGAAAGGTAGAGGAACTGCTTTGCAAGCCTTTCGACGAGGCCCCGTGTCGACATGTACCACGCTTCTGATTCGAAGTGCGACTGATGACGAGAGGCCTTGAAGCATTGCCCCGCACTGGCTGAGTACATTCAGAAGAACAGCAGCAAGGAGGAGTTTCGTCAGCAAAGAATGTGCGAGACAGGGTGATGTCGGAAGAGCAGGATTTGCCAAACTGCTGAACCTTTCACCGTTCTCGTGTGTCTAGACAAAGTTAAAGCAGATCTCCCCCCTGGGCGTCTAACCGCGTCTTAGGCTATTCAGCAGGATAGTGAGCAAGAAGCCCCAAGAACATCGCTCTTGTCAAGCGTATCGGCCTTAAAATGCAAGTTTTGAAAGCTGAGCGACTGAGGACAGCGGGACGCTGGAAAAGGAATTTCGAGAGCACTGGCACCGCGAGGACCAGCAACCGAAGACCGAATGAAATGATGAGCTTCTTCAGCCTAACTACAGCGCGAGACTTAGGCTCCACAAGAGCTTCGGCAAGTGCTTGAGGAGATCGTGGACCCTGAGGCTGTGATAGGCTCTGCCGATCTGTGCGGACATGCTGAGCATCATCGCTGCGTGTCCAGGCAGACGCTGCTAATGTGGCGGAGACCGAGGCATTTCTGCGCAATCGTAGTCCGCTGGTGGAGGCGTGAGGAAGCGCTGTTTGGGGGGCTTTCAGCTGCCGATGAGATCCTCCAGACTGCAGACTTGATGCAGGATCCACTGGCTGAAGGTGCCGAGCAGTCTACAAGTTCAGACAAGCTTGTGGTCAGACAGGCCAGATCTGTTTCTTGGCTGCAAGCTATTCTCTCTAGTGCTTGTCATGGCAGGACATGAATCGGGAACAAGGTGCCGTCCTCAGCTTTGCGTCAGACAGGTTTTTCGTCGGCGGTAGCGTAGTGGTATGTTTGTTTTCCAATTCTGCTTTGGGTGTTTCCAAAATGCAGGTGCGCAGAAAGGTGGGGAGGCATGAAGGAAGAGTAGCCAAAGGAAGGAAGAAGGAAAGAGATAGGAAGGAAGGCCGGAGGACGCAAAAAGGCAGAAACACAGAAGGATACAAATAGAAGACTGAAGGACGGGAACTAATGCAACTTACATGAGCTGCCATCAAATCTGCAGGGCGTGCCAGGCCGTCGAGAAGCGATAACTACCACTCTATTGGTACTAGTCATTCGGCACGCAGGATTATTGACAGTAGTGATGAGCTTGAATCGT